GGCGGTAAGGACCACTTTGGGAAACTATGATGTTGAGCTTAGCGTCTCTTAGATAATTTTATTTTGTAACCAATTTAACATTAAAAGTTAGTAGGTAACAAACACATCATAAAACATTGGTGTGGAAAAGAAAACCCGTATTTTGATTTAACTTCAATGTTTGACTAAAAAAATTCGGTAAAAAGCACTTACTTGAGCATAATTAAAATTGAAAGTGTCATCGTTGACAAAGAAGCTCTTGATTGAGTTAAGATAGACCAACACCTCCTCAAACTGCCCGGCGAGGAAGTAGAAGGAGGCCATGCACTGCCGGCCGGGAATCGTATCGCACTCGGACGCTGAATTGCCCACCAGGTGGTAACTTTGTTGAGCTAGCTTTATTTGTTCGTCCTGCCCCAAACGTGTTAAAATATTTTATTATTATGCATTATTTTTTTTTATAGTTTGAAATGTTTTTTCGTTAGTATTGTTCTAAGCGCACTGTCGCTTTATTATTAATAATCGTTTTAATTTTTGAAGTCAGATTTTCTTAGTCAATAATAAAGGAGTATTATATTTTACAAGATCAATATGACTTAACACAATTTTACTCACATCGCCACTCTCATTGTACAAGCTAACAGCAACAACGCCACGTAGAATGTAGTGTAGCGGCGAGGTAGCTTGAAGCGGCTCGAGCAGTGCCCGCGCCTCGAGGGGTTCGCGCGTGCGCAGGCGATACCCTGCCAAGTTCAGCCGAGCTTCCGGCACCACGTCTATTAGCTCTGGTAGAGTCTATCATGAATAATGAAGTATTCATATTTTCAATGATTCAGGTGGACTTTTTTGATATAGACATTAAGTCAAATCTGTTACGTGTGTCAGATCTACGTACTTTCAAAGCTCCTTCTCCGTTTCTAAACACAACGAGATTGTGTTTAACCAAGTCCTGTCCGAAAGTGTGTTGTTCAGACGATATCTGCTTTAGCTCGTTTTCAGCTGCTTTGCCGTTGTATAGTCTGAAATATTAATCGTAATCCCTATTATTTGTTATTACCTACAGTACAATAAATGTTATATGTATTATATTTACGAATTACTAATGACTATATCAAATAATATTAATATATGGTTGAAAATAAAATACGTGAAAAATAATTATATAATTAAGTCTTCACTTGCACAAACATTCAAAATACATACATACAAAACTGGTCAAATAATACGAATAATTATTGGTTCCTTTTCAATTAAAAAATATTGCATGCAACCCTGAAGGAAATTATTACAACTATAAGAATACTTACCATGGTACATATTATTCTCCCTTTCAATAAAATTAATAAAAATTCAAATATGTATGTTTTTATAATTATTACTAACTATCACAATCTACAAAACACAACCAAAAGTATTTTACATTGTTCTCGTACCTGAATAAATTGCACGCCTTCAAGTTGCTAGCGACGGTAGAAGTAGGATGGTGTGTTAGGTACACTCCCAGAACTTCTTGTGAGACGTCGTAGTAGTCTAATTTATAGTAGCACAAAGCTACGTACACGTTCAGAGCCATGTAGGTGCTGATAAAAACAAAATAATAACTCTACAACACGTCGATACATTTCTCTATTGGCTATATTCAGGGCGGGGCAGTGTTCGAATTACTTGTAATTGAAAAACATAATTGTAATACAAGCACAAAATACGTTTTTTTTAATAATAAATTGAGCATTTGACCTCTATCTCACCTGACGAAAAGTGACAATAAGGTCGACGATGGAGCATGCACACTAAATAACGCCTATTCCCTCTCGCCTTAAAAAAGCCCAAGTTATAGTGTGTAGGGAATAAGTCGACAGACAAGGAATTTCACTCCATAGCCGTTCGCCATACCTACAAATCGTATCGCTTCGTGCGAATCTTTGGGATATACACATGGTAGAGTAATGTATAATAATTGAACCCCAGCCTACATCTAGTCCTAGTATGTATATATATATACATATATATATACACATATATATAAAATAACAATTTTTTTTTATTTGGTTTAATAATTTATTAATTTATTTAATTCTTGCAGTTTCATCGCTAACTCTCCGTAATATCTCTTGAAGATTTGCGATAAGCAGCAACGTTACGGCGGTGTTAAAGGCTTTCCAATTTTGCCTCTACTAAATCATACTATATAAATTTTATTTTTTAGTTATTACCTAAAATATATTTTGAATTTTGTATTCCTAAAATATGATAATAATGTATTTTGAAATATGTTTCTAATACTTTCGTGGTGATGATTGCATGTAAAATAACTGAAGTGTAAATTATTTTGTATTTTAAATACATATGACAGTATTTTTATAATTTATATTTTAATTATGACCGTATGTTTTTGCCCAGCTCTGATTATAATCTACTGAATCTACAAAGGTCTTTAAAAAAGAGTATACATTTATGTAAATATTCCATAAAACTCATCGACAAAACGTCGATAAGGCATCGACTCTGAAATATAGAAAAAACAATAAAATGGCAAGGGACATAGAGACCTACGTATAACACGGAAGGAATAATAGTTCAGTAAGTAACCACGAAAGCTTCAAAATTATACTACAAATATTTTATTTCATGTCTTATTACGCAAATATATGGAAATACGAATGTGAGTTGTAATTATTATGTTTACGTTTTTACCTTTTTGTTGAATGAATTAGAGTTGATTGCTAGCAACAAAAGTTAGCAGATCATTCAAAAGATCTATTCTAAAGCTCTGATTGTGAATAAGTTTATAATTTAAAATACTTGACTTAATTGATTAGTCCTTAGGTTTAAATTATCCACTTCGTATTTACATTTGTCTATAATACTACAAATATCAACAGTTATAACCGACTACAGTTTACTGACATTGGATGTAATTTACCCAGGTGTGATAATATGAGACAGAACTTTGGTCCAATTTAAGTCATCATTTTCATATCTTTTGTATCTGTAAGAAAATATTGCTTTTTGGGGAAAAATTGATATGAAATATACAATATATATATATAACTGCTAAAGATTGCCTTTTTTATGACACGAAGTGACGGGACGACCATGTCGTGCGCCTGATGGTAAGCGACACGCCTGTCCATAGCAATTACAGTGCCACTCAGGGCTTTGCACCGCAAAGATCTAAGGGGCACTACCCATGCGCCCGTCACCCTGAGACATAAGACAGTAACGCTGACATTACCGCTTGGTGGCAGAAGCAGGTAAGGTCGCCTAAAATGAATTGACAGTGAAGTAGTAAGGTAGTTAGCCTTAATGATACGAGCAATGTGTACCGTCGATCCAATAGTAACTTCTTATAAACGTCGATAGCTTCTTGGTAGTGCGCCCGCAAGTAATGCACAGAAGCCAAACTGAGTTGGTCTTCGGGCATGTCACGGAGGGTAGAATGCGCTCGCATCAAAGACTCCTCATCGCCCAGCTTGTGGGCTAAGTGGAATTGAAGACGGGTCTGCAGAAATCATAAAGTGAGGCATTAATAACGCCATCGTCAACATAAATGATTTTTTTTTATTTTAGTTATTAATTTTGTATGAAAAAAAACTTTTTATTAAATTTGACCCACTTCTGCTGTCCCAAATTTTTAATCTCATAAAATGAAATAATCCCTACATGAAACTGAGTCGATCAGTACTAAAAAAATTTGATCAATTTTATTCATTTTTATGGACAACTCATACTTACCAAATAATAAATGATTTAATTTGATTTGATTAATAATAGACTATACCATTATATTTTTATTCAATTAAAAGATAGTTTTATTACTTTATTTATAGCAGCTTTGTTATTTGGTTAAGTTATTGTTACCCCTTACAGTAGGAAAACTAAAGCCTCTCTACGAATGTCACATCAAATGTATGGGAGCCTTAGAATAATAACGCATAGAATGATAGTTTCATTTCAAACGAACTGTCACAAGTGAGGCAAAAACCAAATTCATGTAGGCGTAAGCAACTTGTAACTACGCTCGTCGGCACGCACACAAATGTACAAATAATGATGCCATGGAATAACATTTCCCTCAAAAGTGGGGAAATTGTATCTTGTTTAACTCATCATTAAGTTAAAGGTGCCTACAGATTTGCCCGACATTGTCGATCAGGTGCCTACAGATGTGCTCGGTTTTGTCGATGAAAAACGAATATAGCACTTATTTGTAAATCCAAGATGGCGGACACGATTTTTAAAAATATGCTATATGGGTATCCTTTTCGAGGTATTTGGGGATGCTCATTACGAATATGGCACTCATTTC